GTAGCTGACTGAGCCCTGGCGCCTCCAATCTCCATCGGTTCCTCTCCCCCTCCCTGCGGAGGCGTGGATTGCGCACGCGCTGCATCCTTGGGAAAGAGGGGAGGTGCTCTCGCTGGCGTGCGTCCCCAACGCCCTTCTTCTCTGCTCCATGGACGTTCTTCCAGGCGCACCCCAATCGTCAGCGCCCTCTGGACAACTTCCTGAGTGCTCTGGGGTCTCTCCCCCCTTGCAATTTCGTCTTTCACATTTGCATTCAAGCCTTCCCAAAAAAGGTCTCTGACTGGAACAGAATCTTTCTCCCACCCCAGCGCATTGACCAATGCAAAAAAGCGGGAATGATACTGCCTTACACTGGCTCTCCCTTGTTTCAGCCCATGTATGTCTTTTCTGGCGATATCAATGTCTATATTTGATAAAAAACACGAATCCATCGCTTTAATGAATGCATCCGCACTTCGGAGCGCCGGATCCTTATCTCTCCACAGATTGCGCAGCCACGCTTTAGCTTCTCCATGCAAATGGGATAAGATAAACCCCACCTTCTCTTGCTCATCTCTAAAGTCTTTATCCAGCAGTTGCAGCGCAAACAGCACGTCTGCTCGGAAGTTAGGGTACTGCTGTAAATTCCCATCGAAATGAGATACAAGGCTGCCTCCTCTTTTCCCCAGCCCAATCCCCTCTGATTTGGGTCCCGGTTGCCCCTGCTTAGTAAGCACTTCCAACCTGGCTTGGAGATCCCTGCAGGCGGCAGCCGCTTCGTCTTCCCTTTTCCTGGATGCGAGTATCTCCGCGTTGAGTTGTGTCACTGCATTTTGTAGGGCTGCTATTTGCTGTTCGGTAGTCATCTTGCCTGACTTTTGTGAGCTCGCGAAGCACCAATCTTCGCCCCTCGCTGCGTCCACTCACGTTGCGAGGTTTCTGGTGCAAAACTGAGATGGAGCTTACTGTCAGAGCTGGCTCCAGGTCCCAGCTCACAGAGGACCAACGCTAGCCGGTAGTAATGTACAAAAGTCTTTATTGAAGTACAGTTTCCATTTTCAAGCCGCAGCGCCCAGCTCTACGTCTTAGAGGCTAGACCGGCGAAGCTCCATCTGAGTCTCCACCCCCTGTACACCAACTTAAGACTCTAACCTTACTCCACCTCTTCCGTCTCTCCTTTCTCCTCTGGGTCCTTCTGCCCCCCGGGGTCTCCTCCTTTCTGGACTCCTCTGACGCTGACGCTGACCCCCTGACTCCTCCCCCTCCTTTCGGCGGGCTTTGGGACCTGGCTCCCTATCCGGGCTGCCAGCTGCGCCGCCCTCCTGTACATTTGAACTTGGAGCGCGCGCCCAGCCTTCAACCTTCCTCTTGACCGTTTCCTCGCTCTCCGATGGAGGCGTGGCCAATCCTGACTCCTCTCCTCCCGCTGGCTCTGGTGGGGAAGCTGGTCCTGATTTCCAACTGCTGCTCTCCGAGTCCCCTCTGGCCCCTTCTTCCTGGGGTGTCCCCCTAGGCACCCCCCTTGCTCTGACCATGGGAGCCCCTTTCTGTGAATCTTCCGATTCGCTGGAAAGACTCAGAGACCTCGGACCGCTGTCATCGCTAACATTTCCTTCGGACTCCTCCCCCTTGCTCTCTATTTCCTCCCTTTCCTGTGCCTCTGCTGCTGAGCCCCTGACATACAGTAATAAAATTGAACCTCCAGAGTCAGGGGCAGTGTACCTCTCAGCTTGTAAACTTCCCAAAGCATCTGGCTAACCACTGTTGGGGACAGAATGTACTGGACTAGATTTAGCCTTTTGCGGGTGGCGCTGTGGGTTAAACCACAGAGCCTAGGACTTGCCGATCAGAAGGTCGGCGGTTCGAATCCCCGTGACGGGGTGAGCTCCTGTTAGAATCATAGAATCATAGAGTTGGAATAGAACACAAGGGCCATCGAGTCCAACCCCCTGCCAAGCAGGAAACACCATCAGAGCACTCCTGACATATGGTTGTCAAGTCTCTGCTTAAAGACCTCCAAAGAAGGAGACTCTACCACACTCCTTGGCAGCAAATTCCACTGTCGAACAGCTCTTACTGTCAGGAAGTTCTTCCTAATGTTTAGGTGGAATCTTCTTTCTTGTAGTTTGGATCCATTGCTCCGTGTCCGCTTCTCTGGAGCAGCAGAAAACAACCTTTCTCCCTCCTCTATATGACATCCTTTTATATATTTGAACATGGCTATCATATCACCCCTTAACCTTCTCTTCTCCAGGCTAAACATGCCCAGCTCCCTTAGCCGTTCCTCATAAGGCATCGTTTCCAGGCCTTTGACATTTTGGTTGCCCTCCTCTGGACACGTTCCAGTTTGTCAGTGTCCTTCTTGAACTGTGGTGCCCAGAACTGGACACAGTACTCCAGGTGAGGTCTGACCAGAGCAGAATACAGTGGCACTATTACTTCCCTTGATCTAGATGCTATACTCCTATTGATGAGGCCCAGAATTGCATTGGCTTTTTTAGCTGCCGCGTCACACTGTTGGCTCATGTCAAGTTTGTGGTCAACCAAGACTCCTAGATCCTTTTCACATGAACTGCTCTCAAGCCAGGTGTCACCCATCTTGTATTTGTGCCTCTCATTTTTTTTTGCCCAAGTGCAATACTTTACATTTCTCCCTGTTAAAGTTCATCTTGTTTGTTTTGGCCCAGTTCTCTAATCTGTCAAGGTCGTTTTTGAAGTGTGATCCTGTCCTCTGGGGTGTTAGCCACCCCCACCCCCCAGTTTGGTGCCATCTGCAAATTTGGTCAGGATGCCCTTGAGTCCATCATCCAAGTCGTTGATAAAGATGTTGAATAAGACCGGGCCCAAGACAGAACCCTGTGGCACCCCACTAGTCACTCTTCTCCAGGATAAAGAGGAACCATTGATGAGCACCCTTTGGGTTCGGTCAGTCAGCCAGTTACAAATCCACTGAGTGGTAGCATAGTCAAGACCACATTTTACCAGCTTCTTTACAAGAATACCATGGGGCACCTTGTCGAATGCCTTGCTGAAATCAAGGTAGGCTACATCCACTGCGTTCCCTTCATCTACCAGGCTTGTAATTCTGTCAAAAAATGAGATCAGGTTAGTCTGACATGCTCCTGCCAACCTAGTAGTTTGAAAGCACGTCAAAGTGCAAGTAGATAAATAGGTACTGCTCCAGTGGGAAGGTAAACGGCGTTTCTGTGTGCTGCTCTGGTTCGCCAGAAGCAGCTTAGTCATGCTGGCCACATGACCCAAAAGCTGTATGCCAGCTCCCTCGGCCAATAAAGCGAGATGAGCGCCACAACCCCAGAGTCGGTCACGACTGGACCTAATGGTCAGGAGTCCCTTTACCTTTAGCATAGTAGGGCTCTTCTCATATTCTTGTTGCTACATCCCCACTGATTGCAGCAATCCTTGAGAAATCAGCTAATTGAGGAAGTTTATCCATTAGCCATTACCAGCAGCCCTGCTCACCCTCAATTCTCCTTTTCCCCTGGGCTCATTCTAAGAACTGACAGTCAATATCCAAGAGCCTTGTCTAATCAAATATGTCTGCAGCAATTGACTGCAAAGTGCATCCCATGCGAGCTTATCATTATTCATAATTTTTATGTGTGCTTATGTATGATACTAGATGCCTAGCATCTACACAACCAGCCACTGCTGGCATTTAGCCTCCAAATTTTTCAATTTTCTTTGCCTAAAATGTGCCAGTCTCATAGTGCAATTCTAGTCCACTGTTAAAATTTGAGGTCCTTCAAATGTTGCTGAACTACAAGTCCCTTCATCTCCAATCACTTGCCACGCTGGCTATGAATAATGGGAGGTGGAGTCTAATGACATCAGGAGGACAACAGGTTCCCCAACACAGCTGTCAATCTCTCTGAATTGTCCAATCTGTGCCTACCAACCTGGTTTGTCAAGACTAATATTGATCCATGGCAGTTTTAGAGTTGCTAGTAGAGCTTAACTTGTGTGAAACTCTACACTCCATGCAAATCAACTAATTAAGTATTTTAGTGCCCCCATGAACAGGGTGTCTGGTGGATTCCCCCATTCCCTGCAGAGATCTGTCTTGCTTTCAGAAAAATGGCTGGGTACCAGACTGTGCCAGTAGAGCTTCCTGCAGGCTACAGCATTAGCATCTACATAATTCATGGACTGCAGCCGTTTGATCTCAGCTTTGAAGAGGCTCCAAACAAATCTTACTAATGTAGCAGCTGACCTGCCAGGGAACAATTGGTGCAAAATGCAGAATGGGCTTTAATTGGCTGAGCGTTGGGCTTGCCAGAATCACTTCTTCTACTACTAAAGGGTCAAACTGCCCTCCAGTGGAAATAATATGCCAACACAGGCATCATGAAGCTTGGCTCCAGAAAGGACTGCAAATTTGCTGATTAAAAAATGTACAGTACTACTAAAAAGGAATGAATCTGTTATGTTATGATCTAGGTTCCAGTGTTTCAATCTGAAAATACTCACTTACCCTTCTCATCATCATTAATAGGATGTTTATGTTCATTTATTTAAAATACTTATATGCTGCCCTTCTTCAAAAATAATTTGAAGGCAATGTTCAATATAAAATAAAAGTACAGGCAACAACCAATTAATGAGAGTCCAAACAAAGTGTCACTGCGCATACATGCACAGCACCAAACCCAGAAGTGACCCGAAAACATCACTAAGCACGTCATTAAAGGGGTGGAAGAAAGCCTTAACCAGGAAGAATGGTGTTGAAGCACCAGCATCTAGGGTGACACTGGCAGGAAACCTGAAGGATTAGACCAAATATCATTCTACTTCAGCATCCCAATTTACAGCAGCCAACCAAATGCTTCCAGGAAGCCCCATGCAAAACAAAAACATCTCTAAGTTTGCCTTTCTTTGTGCCTTCCAGTATCATTGTGCTGTTCTTCAGAGAAAACAGTGGCACAGAGGGGTATTCTTGGAATTGCATTATTTGTACATCCTGGTAGTTCAATATATTGGCTTTTTAAAAATTACAACACAGATAGGTTTTATTTTTTTATTTACTGAAACAAATTATCCAAAATACAAGAACAGGTTCAAACAAAAAATAACCCTATTCCCGATCCCTTCTCCTTTCATTACCCTAAGGTGCAAAAGGAATGAAAGACACACACACAAAACCTCCAAAGGAGGCAAGACGCGCACTCCTCCAAAGGAAAAGGAGGATTCAAAATGTGACAACAGAAAACCTGCATACAGTATTCCCCAGTCTTTCCATTTTTAAGGGAGACACAAGTCATGACAATGGCACAGTCACATGGATTTAGAGGGACTGCCTGCTACATCCTGAGAAACTAGAGGGCAGGGATTGTTTTCCTAACTGAACACACAGCACACAAGACACTCAAATCCACTGGCAGCTGTAGCTTCCTCTTTGCAATAAAAAACAATTAACAGCCTAGAAATTGGAGAATTTAGTCAGCCAGTTAGCCTCTGTGCCTTTTAGAATGGTTGGGCATTTTACAAAAACTTCAAAAAGCAAGCTTTCTAGGCATGGGAATGTCAAACCATGGTGCTGCTCCTGCTCAAAAATTGGAAACAGAGAAGCAATGCATATGTGGGCTTGACTAGGAATACCAGGTTACAAATACAGTCCCCAGGAGGCTTCTTTTATGAGTCATTGGGAAGACCAAAGAGCTTCACGGTTCCAGCTTCTCTGCTGCTATCATATTTGCCATCTTTGTCATCGCAGGCGAAGGCCAACAGGGGCCGCTTTGGATGCCAAGCCACAGTGAACGTTGAAGACTCACACTGCACTTCCCACAGCTTCTCACCTGAAGTATAAAGACAGAATTAACCCAGGAACCAAGACAAATGCAGCTGGAACACTCTTGTTCTTGGCTCGCCTCTGTAGAAGAATGCAGTTTAATGAGTTCCATTGAAGAATTTCACACTGCAATCTTTTTACATAAAATTACAAGTGCAATTCAAAGCCAAAAGCTCTCAACCAGCAAGAACAGAGGAGGGGTTTGTAAAATACTGGTGGTTCATAAAATTACAGGGACTGTTGCTTTGAGAACAAGAGGAGCTTAGGCTAAGCATGGGGCACTTTCTTCATAGGCACATGACATCATGGGCCCTCTTCCAAGGGACGTATGCTAGCAGTGGCCGCGATAAAAAACAAAAACGGGCATGGCTAAGAGTTAGCAAAAATGAAGCACTCGTGTTTCCACACTCACTCTTCTCCCAGTACCCTAGCAATTCTTTTTTCCAGCCTAAGTGATTACGACTTCTTTCGAGCCAAATTACAGAACAGGGTTAATTTTGGATGGGGGTGGGCGTCACAGCATACGGGAAGGAAAGGCTTATCCCTTCAACCCTCCCCCCACAAATGCCCCTGTGCAGCTAGTAAACTTGAAAGAAGATTTTTGGAGCCTATAAGAGACAATTTGCAATCCTAATTGCTGCAGGGACTGGATGTCGGGAGGCGAGAACAAATGGGAAGACCCCGTGGGCTGTCAGGTTCCCCACCTCTGGCTGGGACAATATCCTCCCACTCCTGCATGTTCTGCCTGGATTCCCCCACACCAGATATGCATAGCTTTGCCAAGTTTTTAGGTCTAGGAATGGACCAAAAGAAATTTAGGGAACCTCCAGTAGACGACAGGAAAAGTATAACACACATTGATAGTGAAAGCTTATTCAAAACCAACATGATCTTCATCTGAGCTCATTCCCTAGTACGTGTTTTTAGAATTGCTTTGCCTTTCTTGGCAGACAGTGAGAAGAAGAGCACTGACCTGTTTCTACCTCAGCAATGTCAATGAAGTGATCTTCAGAGGCTGAAGCCAGCATCTTCCCATCATGGCTGAAACTCAGTGTCCTCACAGGCCAGTCGAGCCTGAAATATAGGAGCAAATGGAATAAGGGGCGAGAAGACAGATACAGTGGTGCCTCGCAAGACGAAAAGAATCCGTTCCACGAGTCTCTTCGTCTTGCGGTTTTTTCGTCTTGCGAAGCAAGCCCATTAGCGGTTTAGCGGATTAGCGCTATTAGCGGCTTAGCGGATCAGCTGATAAGCGGCTTAGCGATCAGCTGTTAAGCGGCTTAGCGGATCAGCTGATAAGCAGCTTAGCGGATCAGCTGATAAGCGGCTTAGCGATCAGCTGTTAAGCAGCTTAGCGGATCAGCTGATAAGCGGCTTAGCGGCTTGGGAAAAGGGGGGGGAGGGAAAAAACCCTGCAGGAACTCGCAAGACATTTCGTCTTGCGAAGCAAGCCCATAGGAAATTCGTTTTGCGAAGCAACTCCAAAACGGAAAACCCTTTCGTCTATCGGGTTTTCCGTCTTGCGAGGCATTCGTCTTGCGGGGCACCACTGTACCAGTCAGATGCCTCTTGGAAGCATGAAAATAGCGCCCAAAGCCAAGAACTCTCCCCTCTTTATTTCTTCCTAGCAACAGGGAGAAAAATACTGCCACTGGGTATGGCAATTCTATTTAGTCACCATCATGCTGTTGATAAAGCAATCCTCCATTAATTTGTCTAATCCCCTTTTAATGCTAAGCCAGATGCCATAATATCTTGCAATAACAAATGTTGTACATTAATTACTACACTAACACACATACATACATATATACATATACATAGCTACACATTGTATTTTCTCTGACTTTTCTGCCAACAGATTGTGTTAGCCAGAGTTAAAGTATTAGGAAAGGCATAAAATTTTCTCCTCTTTTCTCAGGCAACACCACTTATTTTAAGTTACATATAAAATAATAAATATTATTGCTCTTGAACATGTCCTCCTTGCTCTTTTTTGTTCACCATATTCCATATGTGGCTGCACATCTAGCAGTTATGATATGAGCCATTTAATATTCAACTGCTTTCCTAATAATCCTCCAAGCTTGCTTTCCCCACTGTCACTCGGGTTGGATAGAAAATCACGATTTTTAAATGGGTGGGAAATTGATTGAAGCCAAGGGATTGTCTGATCACCTTCAGAACCAAAGAGGAAAGAGACAAGATACTGAACCTTCATTATCAAAAAGCTTTGGTAATTGGAAACATTCAAGTCCAAATCTTTAAGGACATCCCTAAATACATCTTGGAAGTGAGGGCCTTCTATAGAGACTTGGCCAATTTGTTGAGGAAGAACTTTATACCTTTCAGGTGGGAATTTCCACAGGGGTTGTCCTTTAACTACAAAGGGAAGAAAAGAAGAATAAGAACAGTACAGGAAAAAGAAAACTTATTGGAAAGAAACCTAGAGGACCTACAGAAAGGTACGGTGGGCCTGGCAAGAGGAGGACAAGAATCAACACCAGAAGGAGGAGGGCTAACAGACATTGCAAATCTATCATTTGGATTACCACAACCGCCAACTGAAGAGGAAGAAAAGCTTGGAGCAGTCGGAGGGTCAAACATCTAATAAACAAAATGTCCCTGCAACTCCTTAGTTGGAACTGCAACGGTCTGAACCAGAAAAAAACGACAAGTTTTTCACATTTTGAAAAGGGAACAACTGGATCTGATATGTCTACAGGAAACCCATATAACCAGAGCACACAGGAAACTGTTGGTGAACAAAAGATTAGGACAAGAATTTATATCTTCTGACAAAGTAAAAAAGAGAGGAGTAGTGATTTATGCAAAAGAAAAATTGGACCCAAAAATGAAATTCAAGGATGAAGAAGGAAGATATTTGGCAATCGAAGTACAGATTCAGGGAGAAAAATATTTGATAATTGGAATATATGCACCTAATGATGGGAAGGCTGAATTCTTCAAGAAGTTGCATGAAACCTTATTGGACTACCTCGACTGCAAAATAATACTGATGGGGGACATGAACGGAGTGGTCTCCACAAATATGGATAAGGCACAAAGACAGACAATTTCTAAAGAAGGAAGACTACCAAAGACTTTCTTTGAGATGACGGAAAACATGGACTTGATTGACATCTGGAGAACAAGGAACCCTCTCGAGAGAGAGGGAACCTTTTTCTCGGAATCTAAAATGACATGGACAAGAATCGACCAAATCTGGGTATCTAGTGTGATGGCAACAAAGATAAAGAAAGTAGAAATCTGCCCAAAAACCTGCTCCGACCATAATGCAGTAAAGATGAAAATGACAACAACTGGATCCTTCAGATGGAGAATGAATGACTCCCTATTTAGAGATGAACAATTTTGTAAAAAGGCCCTAAAGACATTGAAAGATTACTTTGAGATAAACTTGAGAACAGAAGTTGAAAAAAGAATAATCTGGGACGCGAGCAAAGCCGTGATGCGAGGCTTCCTGATACAACAGAACTCAATTAAGAGGAAAAAGCAAAATGAAAGGAAAGAAAGAATATTAGAAAAAATGAAGGAAGGAGAAAAGAAATTGAGGTCTAATCCAAAGTCTCAAGAAATTTTGAGAGAAATAAAGTATTACCAGACGCAATACATGGAACTGACAAATCAAGAGATAGAGTGGAAAATTAAACAAATGAGACAAAGGACTTTCGAGTCAGCAGACAAATGTGGGAAGCTTCTGGCATGGCAATTGAAAAAGAGGCAAAAATTGAATACAGTCACCTGTTTGGAGATAGAGGGAAAGAATATTCACAAGCCAAATGAGATAAGTAATTGTTTCCAAAGCTTTTTTAGGAAATTATACACACAAGGGCCAGTGAACGAACAAGAAATAGATGAATTCCTTAAAAATCATGGACTACCTAAAATTTCAGAACAGAGCAAGTTGACTTTGAATGAGAAAATAACAGAGCAAGAAATAGAGGAGGCCATTCAAAAAGCGCAATTGGGAAAGTCTCCAGGACCAGATGGTTTGACGGCTAGATACTATAAAGCTTTGAAAGAATGTTTAGTGCAACCACTGAAAGAAGTCTGCAATGAAATATTGGAGGGGAAAAAGGCACCTGAAACGTGAAAAGAAGCTTTTATTTCACTTATACCAAAAACTGAGACTGAAAAGAATCAGGTTAAGAACTACCGCCCGATATCATTACTAAATGTGGATTACAAAATATTTGCAGACATTTTAGCAAAAAGACTGAAGAAAGTATTGATAGGTGAGATTCATAAGGACCAAGCTGGCTTTCTCCCGGGAAGACATATGTCTGATAATGTGAGGAACATAATAGACATTGTGGAACTGCTGGAAATGAACATTAATAGAAAAGCGGTTTTGATCTTTGTGGACGCGGAGAAAGCCTTTGACAATATTTGCTGGAGTTTTATGAAAAAGAATCTCCAAGGGATGGGGGTAGGCCAAGGTTTTGAAAATGGTATAGGTGCAATATACTCTGAGCAGAAGGCAAAGCTAATTGTGAATAATGTGGTAATGGAAGAGATAGCTATAGAGAAAGGAACACGACAGGGATGCCCTATCTCCCCTTTACTTTTCATACTGGTCCTGGAGGTTTTGTTAAATATGATTAGAAAGGACCAGTTGGTCAAAGGAATTCAGGTCGGAGTGAAAGAGTATAAACTGAGGGCAGTTGCAGATGACCTAGTTTTGACTTTACAGCAGCCAAACACTAGTACAAAAAGAGTTTTAGAACTGATTGAGATATTTGGTCAAGTTGCAGGATTTAAACTGAATAAACAAAAAACTAAAGTGCTGGAGAAAAACCTAACAAATGAGGAAAAAGAGACATTTCAGAATGAAACAGGTTTGGAGATAGCAAAAAAAGTGAAGTACTTGGGGGTGAACTTGACAGCGAAAAATGTGAACTTATTTAAGGACAATTATGATAAATGTTGGACAGAAGTTAAGAAAGATTTAGACATATGGTCAAGGCTGAAACTTTCCTTGTTAGGCAGAATTGCTGTTATCAAAATGAATGTATTGCCTAGAATGTTATTCCTGTTTCAGACATTACAGATAATAGACAAGATGGACTGTTTCAAGAGGTGGCAGAAAGACATATCGAAATTTGTTTGGCAGGGCAAAAAGCCAAGAATAAAATTTAAGACATTAACAGACGCAAAAGATAGAGGAGGTTTTGCCCTGCCAGACTTAAGACTTTACTATGAATCAGCAGCGTTTTGCTGGTTGAAAGACTGGCTGCTCCTCGAGAATACAGACATTTTGGATCTTGAAGGGTTTGATAACAGATTTGGTTGGCATGCATATATATGGTATGACAAGGTAAAAGTGCACAAAGGTTTTAAGAACCATATGGTGAGGAAAGCTCTGTATAATGTCTGGATAAGGTATAAAGATTTGTTTGAAAGCAGAACCCCTAGGTGGCTGCCACCAATGGAGGCAAAAGAGGTGAAAAAATTGAATATGGGTTCTAATTGGCCTAAATACTTTGAAATGATAGAACAAGATGGTGAAAAAGTAAAATTGCAGAGTTTCGAGAAACTGAAGTTTAAGGTGAGAGATTGGCTACATTATCGACAGTTAAATGAAATATTCAAACAGGACAGAAAGAAAGGCTTCCAAGTGGAGAAGTCCAAACTAGAAACAGAACTGTTAGAACCCAATACTAAAATCTTGTCAAGAATGTACAACTTGCTGTTGAAATGGAATACTCAAGATGAAATGGTGAAATCTAGTATGATTAAATGGGCACAGGATATAGGGCATGACATTGAGCTTGCTGACTGGGAGCAGTTATGGACCACTGGTGTTAAATTTACGGCATGTAATGCCTTAAGAGAAAACATTATGAAAATGATCTACAGGTGGTACATGACTCCGGCTAAGTTAGCAAAGATTTATCATTTGCCCAATAACAAGTGTTGGAAGTGTAATGAAACGGAGGGAACCTTCTATCACCTTTGGTGGACCTGCCCGAAGATCAAGGCCTTCTGGGAAATGATCTATAATGAAATTAAAAAAGTTCTGAAGAGAACATTTAATAAAAAGCCAGAAGCCTTTCTCTTGGGTATGGTGGGCCAAATGGTGCCAAAGAAGGATAGGACATTTTTTATGTATGCTACAACAGCAGCAAGAATCCTTCTAGCAAAGTATTGGAAGACACAAGATCTACCCACGTTGGAAGAATGGCAGACGAAGGTGATTGATTATATGGGACTGGCAGAGATGACTGGCAGAATCCGAGACCGGGGGAAAGAGGCGGTGGATGAAGACTGGAACAAATTTAAAGTTTATCTTAAAAACTGTTGTAATTTGGAAAATTAGAGGATCAGGGTAATAAGAGATAAAGAACTACAGTTGTTATATTATCTTATGGAAGTTAAATTTACGAAATAGAAATAAGTTTAATACGAAAGGGTTGCTGAAAAATCTTGAAACAAGAATGCAGAAAAGGGGTGGTACGGGGAAGTCGGTTTTGTGTTTATCTATGTTTTTGTTTTGTTTTCTCTTTTACTTATGGAAAATCAATAAAAATTTATTTTTTAAAAAAAGAAATTGATTTCTACACACAATGTTGTAAAAATCAAAATACTATATGGGTTGTATCCAACTTAATCACAACATGAACATAACAACTTCCAGAAGTACAACAGATAAAAAGACTGAGTTAAAGGCTGCTTTACTAAATAAAAAAAATGAGCCATGGTGAAATTCTGACTTTTAAAGTTAAGCTTTAAAATCACACACTGACAATGCTATCCATGTAACCACCCAACTACTAGAACTTTGCAGTAAATTCAGTACTCAAATTATTAGATTATTTATTAAATTATCATTACTAAACAGAGAGAAAGACAGTATCTTTACAAGTCATTGCTTATATAAATTTCAGTAGACTGCATTCATGTGGCTTCCTTAGTATCCTTGCCCCAAAAAAAGATTTGAACAAAAATCTGTCTCTTATATCCATAAAGACGTTATGAACTGCAGAAGCAAAGTTTTTGGATTATGCTCATAGGTTGTATAAAAGCTCACTTAGTTTGAGCAGGAAAAATGTGAATTTTAAAATAAAAACAACTTATTTAAATCCAACACTTTATAAACTTGTCTTTTTTTCTTAGTGATTTAAATTACCTTGATATAAATCAGTCTACCCTGCCAAGGCAGCAAATTGAATTGACATTTTCACAGATCAGTCATGGCCTCCTCCCGCTCAATTTTTTCAAAGAGCAACAGCCCATTCAGAGCACTTCAGTGTACAAGTGGTTAAGAATTATTTATCCAATCTACATACCTGGCTGCAGGAGTGCAAAATAAGGTATGGTATAGACATTTTGACAACCACTAGGGTCAAAAAAGGTCATTAAGTTCACAGATCAAGATAACTCACCTAGAAAAGCATCGCACGCATACAAGCTCATCCACATCCCAGAGGCTAACCAATGCATCAGCACTTCCTGTAGCGAAATACTTGCCCGTTGGGTCAAATTTGATACAGATGCAGTTTGAAGGATGGGCATTAATTGACTGGATGAGCTTCAGCTCTGGATAGCTGTAGAAAGTTAAAGAAATGAAGTTGGAGTGAGGTTGGGGAGAAAACAGCCCTTTTACTAGCTATGTAACATCTAGAAATGTCTTCTTACTGGTCACAAAATGGAAGCTAAAACCTGCTTGTATAGTAGAGGCAACAAAAGTTGCCCACTCTAGGGAGGCTTTGTGGCAGTTGTAAGTCACTGAATAGTAACAGGAATAACACATTTTTTTTGTATTCCACTTACAGAGCTCCCCGCAGGAATATGAGATCATTTAAGACGTATTCAAAAGACAGATTTAGATGTCCAATTTAGAGGGAATGACAGATATAGAGGGAAGGAACAAAACAATTTCTGTTACATTGACTGGAATGTGGGGATAAAGCCGTAGGTCTGTACCAATGAAACAAAGGTATAAGCTGGGACACAGGGTGGCATCAGGGAAGAGTTCATATTTATTGTGCCTCTGTGATGGGAAACCTCTGGTTCTTAGGCCTAAGTAGGTCCATGAGGCAGTTTTCCCTTGTACACCCACCTGGGTGTACACCCCACAAGTATTTTTCCCCACCCACAACCCATACAAAAGTCAAGACAGCCAACTCACTTGCTGCCCTTCCCAGTAAAGGTCATGGTGAGGGTACCTGAGGATGTTGATGCAACCGTTGCCATTGGTGAGGAAAAACATGTTGTTGTCATTGTTCCATGAGATCTCATTCACCTCAAACTTGAACTGTTCCTCAGCTTTGGACCGATATGTTTTAGCATCAATGAAGGTGACCACATCATCCTTGTTCCCTACTGCAATAGTCTGTCCGTCGGGGCTCCAACAAATGTTAATATTCTCCCCTGTAAACGTGAGGAAGGGGAAATTGAACCTACTGAATTCCTTTCTGGGGCAGGAGTTCAGTCAACACACAAAGTCCTGCATTTTTAAGCCAAGAACTTCTAACATAATCACGTATACCCAGCCCTATAAAATGCAGCTTATCTACCTATACTCTCTTCACCAGAGATATGGTGCCTGTGGCCCTCCAATTACTGTTGGTCTCTAACTGCTATGGTTAAAGCCATGGTTTTCCCAGTAGTGATGTATGGAAGTGAGAGCTGGACCATAAAGAAGGCTGATCACCGAAGAATTGATGCTTTTGAATTATGGTGCTGGAGGAGACTCTTGAGAGTCCCATGGACTGCAAGAAGATCAAACGCATCCATTCTTAAGGAAATCAGCCCTGAGTGGTCACTGGAAGGACAGATCGTGAAGCTGAGGCTCCAATACTTTGGCCACCTCATGAGAAGAGAAGACTCCCTGGAAAAGACCCTAATGTTGGGAAAGATTGAGGGCACAAGGAGAAGGGGACGACAGAGGATGAGATGGTTGGACAGTGTTCTCGAAGCCACAAACATGAGTCTGACCAAACTGCGGGAGGCAGTGGAAGACAGGAGTGCCTGGCGTGCTCTGGTCCATGGGGTCACGAAGAGTCAGACACGACTAAACGACTAAACAACAACCAACTGCCAGTCCCACGCAGCTCAAGATAGCTGCATTATAAACACCATTAAGAATCTCGTCCCCCGCTCAACCCTCTCTAGATGGTTTCTAGTGGTACTGATAAAATGGTATCTATAAGTTATACCTTCAATCAATGCTTTTGAAATACAGTCATAGTACAAGGTAATTTCAATCTCAGCCCCTTCTTGAGCACCAAAAATAGAAAAAGAAGAATGGTTCATGTGGGCTAGGTTGCCAGAGGAGATTGACTGCCTCTCAGGACCATCTGGCTCAGGTTCTTGTACTTGCCCCCCATTAAACGCAGTAAACCCTTGCAAAATACAAAGCAAAAGCACATAGGACAGCTTTGTTTTCAGTGAATATTAGTGATACCTACCCTTGGTATTCACGGAGGCAATACATTTAGTAGTGCGGACATCCCATATACGGATGGTTTTGTCTCCAGACGCAGTGACAAATAAGTCCGGGTTGCTGGGGTGCCAGCACAACTGATCCACACTGTCTCCATGGCCACGGTAATTATTCTCCTTCACCTACGGAAAACAGTAAAGTTCTAAACTAGTAATCCACACACACACATCCCTCAAAAGGGAAATGTTATGACGACCCTTTGAATTACCATGCATCTCACAAGCAGCCTAACTAGACTTAATAATCATTCTAAGCACACTATCATCCAAGCCTAAGTGCTCAGTTTTCGGGTCAAGCCTCTTTTAGGAATAAGAACTCCAGAAAGACCTGCAGGATCAGACCAATGGCCCATCTAGTTCAGCATCCTGCTTTCAAAGTGGCCAACCATATTAGAAGCCCAAAAGTAGGTCCTTGTGGTTTCCAGCAACTAGTATTCAGAAACATACTGTCTCCAAACATGGAAGAAGCATGTTAAGTTATCCAATCCTCACTCAAAATCATCCATGTTTGCAGCTACCACGGTTACTGGGGGCAGATTCCATGGATTAACTATGTGATGTGAAGGAGCACTTTCTTCTGTCCTAAATCCTCTCCCATTCCGTTTCAGTGGATCCCCACGACTTCCAGTGTCGCTTTGAGAGATGGTACCGACTTTCTCCATGCCACGCAGTGTTTTATACACTCCTTTCATTGACACCTCTAGACGCCCAAGTGAGCAGGATTCACGCCAGCCCCCGGCTGCGGCAACTGGTCTCTCTGCTCCTCCTATTTCCCCGCCTGGAATATTCCCCCGCTCCTCCTATTTCCCCGCCTGGCGCACCCAGCACTGACCAGCCGGTCCTTGTCGAGCACGAAGACGCTGGCGGTCTTGTCGAAGGAGCCGGAAGCGAGGCGGCGGCCGCAGCAGCTCCAGGCCACCGAGTGGACCTTGGCCACGTGCGCGGGGAACTCGCGGATGCGCGTGTTGGCCCGGAACAGCTCCTGCATGGACTGCACGTACGGGGAGAGCGCCATGGCAACCCGGCCCAACCGAAGCGGGCGGAGCTTTCGGCGGCGGCGGAGTGCCCTTCCGGGTAACAAAGGTAGAGCTTCCGCCGCGTTATGAGCCCTGTTCTGCAAGGGATGCGCACGGAGGAAACTCCGCCCGCGGGGGGGGGCGCGTGCATTCAGTACGCAGGCGCGGCGGGGCTGAAATTTAAATAAATGAAACGGACATGAATGGAAAAAAATCCCTTTCGCTTTGACGTAAATATTTTCGGGGCGAGACTCAACCCTCACTGACTGCTGGGACAGGATGGTGAAGATAGATAGATAGATAGATAGATAAGATTAGAGTGCTTTTTTTCTTCAAAAAATGTTTAGCTGTACTCTTATTTTCCTACTCATTGAAATGTTGTTGTTTAGTCGTTTAGTCGTGTCCTCTTCGTGACCCCATGGACCAGAGCACGCCAGGCACTCCTGTCTTCCACTGCCTCCCGCAGTTTGGTCAAACTCATGCTGGTAGCTTCGAGAACACTGTCCAACCATCTCATCCTCTGTCGCCCCCTTCTCCTTGTGCCCTCCATCTTTCCCAACATCAGGGTCTTTTCCAGGGAGTCTTCTCTTCTCATGAGGTGGCCAAAGTATTGGAGCTTCAGCTTCAGGATCTGTCCTTCCAGTGAGCACTCAGGGCTGATTCCCTTAAGAATGGATGCGTTTGATCTTCTTGCAGTCCATGGGACTCTCAAGAGTCTCCTCCAGCACCATAATTCAAAAGCATCAATTCTTCGGCCATCAGCCTTCTTTATGGTCCAGCTCTCACTTCCATACATAACTACTGGGAAGACCATGGCTTTAACTATACGAACCTTTGTTGGCAAGGTGATGTCTCTGCTTTTTAAGATGCTGTCTAGGTTTGCCATTGCCTTTCTCCCAAGGAGCAGGCGTCTTTTAATTTCGTGACTGCTGTCACCATCTGCAGAGATCAAGGAGCCCAAGAAAGTAAAATCTCTCACTGCCTCCAATTCTTCCCCTTCTATTTGCCAGGAGGTGATGGGACCAGTGGCCATGATCTTCGTTTTTTTGATGTTGAGCTTCAGACCATATTTTGCGCTCTCCTCTTTCACCCTCATTAAAAGGTTCTTTGATTCCTCCTCACTTTCCGCCATCAAGGTTGTGTCATCTGCATATCTGAGGTTGTTGATATTTCTTCCAGCGATCTTAATTCCAGCTTGGGATTCATCCAGCCCAGCCTTTCGCATGATGAATTCTGCATATAAGTTAAATAAGCAGGGAGACAATATACAGCCTTGCCGTACTCCTTTCCCAATTTTGAACCAATCAGTTGTTCCATATCCAGTTCTAACTGTAGCTTCTTGTCCCACATAGAGATTTCTCAGGAGACAGATGAGATGATCAGGCACTCCCATTTCTTTAAGAACTTGCCGCAGTTTGCTGTGGTCGACACAGTCAAAGGCTTTTGCATAGTCAATGAAGCAGAAGTAGATGTCTTTCTGGAACTCTCTAGCTTTCTCCATAATCCAGCGCATGCTTGCAATTTGGTCTCTGGTTCCTCTGCCCCTTTGAAATCCAGCTTGCACTCATTGAAATACTGCCCCTCAATGAGGCCAAACTTAAGAGTCACAAAATGTTTAGGGGTACGCGTATCCCTATGTCCCCCCCAGAAAAAAAGCACTGAATAGATAGGAAGAAAGAAAATAGTTGCTGGGTGTGCAAAGGGAAAAGCCGCGATTTTAACTGGCAAGTTTGATTTTTAAATTTTCTAAATAAGTGTTTTGTAGGAGAAGCATCTTATGTGCGCCTCTTCTCCATCCAAGCGATGCTGCCCCACTGGTAGAATAGGAGACATTGCTTCTCCCCCAAAATGGTATGATTTGCGGCGAGAGTGAGACCGTAATTGGGTTAGTTGTTGGAAAGATCTGGGGGAAAAGAGAAGCGCGTACATGGCCAGATAAAGAAAAAGATTTGCTTGCTGAGCTTATCGCTTAACAACCACTATCTACAGCTGGGTTCTGTGAGTGTTTACTGGGGAAATATAGTACAGTTCTTTTGGACTTGGCTTTCAAGCACAGATCCATAAGTTTGCAATCTAGGGCGTATGTCTGATAGCTGCACTCTGTCAGAAAGTAAATTTGAATTGAATTTTAGAAATAAGGCTTCATCAGTTGTATCAATTTCAGAATATGAAAACAAACTTGGAAAATACTCTGTTGCTGCATAGGTCTTTTGTTTCTGTTTTCTTTGAAGTTTTCTTTGTTTCTGTACTTGTAATTTAAAAAGTCAGAAATAATAACGGGGAGATTTCCCATTTCCTTTGACCTTGCAGAGAAATATTTGAGGTCATTTTGGGAGAGAGAAAATGGTTTCAGGGCTTTTCTGTGGGTTTCAGACATGTGGCTTACATATTTGTATGTGTTTGCTTGGTACATTTATCAACATCTATTTTATATATATATACGACCTTATTCTTATAACACAGCATTCACCCTTAGATCTCAGGGCAGATTACAACATAAAAGCACATTGTTAAACAATGTCTGAAACAACTCGCAATCACAGAAATAAGTTGGATTCTAAAAGCATACATAACAAGTTGTCAAAACTGTTGAATAGTTGCACAGCCCTTTAGCCAAGGACCACCCAAAGCTATCATATGTCACATATGTCCCTGTTTAGGGAAGTTTTTAAATGTTTGATGTCTTATGTTTTTAATATTCTGTTGGGAGCCGTCCAGAGTGCCTGGGGAAACCAGTGGGTGGGTATAAATAAATGATGATGATGATGATGATGACAGAAAGAGGTGGTCTCCAACAAAGTATGTGGCTTGTATCCTGTTTGCCAAGATTAATGTAAGGCTGATTGCCTTATTTTGGTGAGTCTGGACATGTTATATACCTTGCTTCCTCAATCTGCTATTTACAAATTTGCACCTGTTGGTACTCATGAGAATGCTCCATTGACAGTATGCTCAGTTTAACAGATACTTGACAGACTGGTATTGCAGGGAGGGGTAAGTCCCTACATTCTAAGCAGCTTATAGCATGGGGGGGGGTAGTACACTCAATGGCCACCTCCCTGGTATCAGCTTCTAAGAAGCATTTCTGCTTAACAATAACCTACTATCAGTACCTAGCAGGACAGCAAGAAGAGCCTGTGCCTGGTTAGGAATGCAGAGAAGCTGCCAAGTTTCTTCCAGCTAGCTGGAAGGTGAAAGGCACAGCACAGCACACCTATGCTCACATCATCTGTCACTCTGCTTACACAGAACACTTTTCAGATACCCGAGAGCTATAACTCAGGAGTGCCATACCTGTGTGTTTTAATTCAGGGGCGTCACGATTCTGAATCGATCACATCACGTACACAGCTGACTTTAGCCTGCTAAGTGCTGAGTCTGCAGAAACACCATCCCGTAGCTAAACTGCAAGATGTATCCTTGATTATTTAGGCCGCAAGATGTATCTACAGTTGCAACTGCAAGGCCAATTATTCCTAGCTTGGCCTGAACTGGAGGGAAGCGCCGGTGAATAACTGTCCTGAAGCCAAATACAAGAACCTGACTCAAGCATGCCTTGATCACACACTTTCCTAGCCATGAGTGACACAGAGGATCATGTGTTTGTGTGTTTGCTACAAGCGCGTAGCTGCTTTGTGCTTGCTTTGTCTGCGCCCGATTCCTTTGGGAGTGATCCAGGCCGGGACTCTGGACCGCAGCCACAACAAACTCTTCTTTCCCCCTTTCCACCTGCTGAGAAATACAACCAAGGTCGTTAACCCCCTGATGTATATTTGTGAAGCAAACAGCGGCGGCGAGGAACTCCCTGGGGCTTCGTTAAGCCCCGCCCTCCCGATTCGGAGTTCTCAACGTCAGCGAGTCGCGGAAAGGAAAATAATAATACTGTATCGGGGTCGGTCGGATCCCAACGGAAGCGGCCAGCCCGGCTCGGCCCTATAAAGCAGCGGAGCTGGGCTCAGCCTCGCCCTTTCCGCTTTGCCACGCCCCTCGACGGGCGGGACTGAGCAGAAGGGGCTCGATGGCCGAGGTTCTTGTCACTGAGTCGAGCTCCGATGGGGAAAGCGGCTATGATTGGTCTCCCCGCCGGCGCCTGGGCGAAAAGAGGAAGCGGAGATGGCGGCGGCCGCCCGCCGAGCCCCCGGTGAGTTGCGCCGCGAACATGGGGGATGCTGTTTTCTGGTCCCGAGGCTTGGACTTGGCGGCCGCTGCCGGCGTCTCTCCTCCTTTCTGCCTTGGGGACTCCGAGTCATTTCTCCTCTCCTTGCCCATTCACTTCTCCCCACGCGCTCCTGTAGGCAGTGGCGGGGTGCCGGGAGGCAGGCGCCGTCGGCTGAGCACACGCAGGCTTGTTCGTACGCGCCCGACCCTGCCAAACGCAGGAGAATATTGTGCTGGCTGGGAACTAAATTTGTAGGGCGCGCAGATAAAGTCGGCGTTTCCAGAGGGCATGACTGACGTCCCAAGCTGCAGCCTTCGGGTAAATATGCTTTTGGTAAAAAGAGGAGCGCCTCTTCCTTTTAACGTAACGCAAACAAGTGTGCCTGAATGCATTTTAGTGAGGTTTGGAGAACAGGAGTTGGTCAAGCCAGCTTTGTTATCCGTGCGATCCTGACAAATAACTCACTGCACGCGACCCTGCAGTGCTCCCTATTGCAGAAATTCCTTGTCTCGCTCCTAAATCCCATCACCGTGGTGCTGGAGCTTGATCAAGATGTTGCTGGTATGACCTTACTCTGCCCACTTTGCCATGAGCCGATCTGTTTCAGGAGGATACCCATAGGGAAAAACAGATGCGCAGGAAGCTGCCTCACACCAGGGCAGATCAGCTGTTCTCAGCTCTGACAACCGGATCCTTTGAACTGGGGATTCCAGGGATCAAATGCTTTGCCACTAAACTGTGGTGACTCCCAAACTCCAACTGAGTAGCAGTTGTCATTTAAAACAATGGAAATGGAAGTTGAATGCTAAAAAGGGAATCTGTGTGTGGCCAGCTAAATGGAGGGAAAAGGTCCTGTACTGCAGAAAGCTATAAACAAGGCCATGAGTCTCTCCTGACATCATGGGCAGT